TGCTGTTTCTGTACAGGAAGCGCCACAGACAGACTTAATTTGCTTTTTATTTTTTTTCCTTTTACAGCACTAAAGTGAAATCTGCTAAGTAGGTAAAGTTGGGACTCTGGAAGAAGTCATGTTAATTTTGGACAAAATTTATATACTGAAAAGCACAGCAATCACATTTTTTCTGAGTCATATTTTTTATTCAACGTGTAAAACAGGATGCTCTTGACGTAAATTACACAGCTGATGCCTAAGATAAGGTAGAATTATACAAAAATATCAAACCTCTGATCTCAATTCAGTATACAGGATATGTCAACATAGGATATAAGTGCTCTTTTACCCTTTTAGCTATTTCTAATTATATAAGCTCAAGTGGTGACTATCTCATAGCTAATTTTATTTGAAATGAGTTTAAGGATAGGGATGTAGCTCAGTGGAGAGTGTTTGACTAGCATGGATAAGGTCCAGGTATTGATTCCCAGCATAACACACACACACACACACACACACACACACACACACACACACACACACACTGAAATTAGGCATGTAATAAATTATTACTCCCAGCAAAGATGTATACCATCATACACTTACTTCTAACAAATTTGTCCTAGTCTTATGGAAATACACATGCTCTTGGTAAGCTATTCATTTTAATGGTTCAGTGCAAGATAAGTAAAAATAATGGGTAATGCAATATAGTTTATGATAAATCATAAGGAAAATGTATTGGAAATGAGTACGACAGATGCTTCAGGACAGTTGCTATTAAATGCAATGAATACAATGGATACAAATGGCTTTGCCATCCATTAACCATTTTGCAACCTCACAGTAAACACACAGGGCACCATTTCTACAGGCTGATGCTGGCAATTCAGGAAGTGGAGCCTCTGTTACATCGTGAATAAAAGCATCAGGTGTCCCAGACATACCACATTATCAGTATATTCTTTATGAAATGGTTCTAGAAAGAAGCGGCTCTGAGCCTCTGCCTCAACTGACAATTTTACTTGAGTCTAAAGTATACTAAGTTTTAGGAAATTAGCCCTGGTTAATGTGCAGATAAGAATATACTTTAGCTCTCACTTAATAATTTATATCTGCAAGTACATATTCTAGTATTGTGGGTAGGGACCATGGGGTCTCAGAGGCTTAGGGTAGTCTGAAGAATAAGGCTATAGAAAAGATAAATAGTTTCATGTTCTCCTTCATCCTTATTTCTTGTCTGATACATAAGATAGGATTATACAAAAATATCAAAGCTTGATTTCAATTCAGTGTACAGGATATGTCAACATAGGATATAAGTGCTCTTTTACCCTTTCAGATACTCCTAATTATATAAGCTCAAAATGTTACCTTGGCACAGGATCTCTCTGTGTTGGTTCCCTTGTGTTTGTCATCTCCATGGAGGAAAGAGGAAACTGGGTTTACTCTTTTTGTACCCCAACCTGTCTCTACCTCTTTAAAAGTAGGCATGAGGGACAGGTAATGTCAAGAGGAACCAGCTCAACAGCCCAATCAGGGATCATTTGGATGGTAACCAGAGGATTTTTTAAAAAATGTTTTTGTCCCCAGCTTAGCTGTATAGACCACACTATAGTACATCCTTAGGTATCAAGTCTCAGATTGTGGGAGAGGTGCCTCTAAAATGTTGTACTTTCTTTCACAAGAATGTTATGTGAAATATGCAACAAGCCAAACGTAATCATAGTAATGAGTATCACTTGGTCCCTAGTTAATTGACATGATTTGCACAAGGTGACAGATAAAAGACTTCTTCGTCTTAGCTCACCAACAAAGGTAATATCCCAGCATCAAAGATGCTACATAAGGGCACAAGGCATAGAAGGAATGTCCTGACACATTAACCCCGGACCAGAACAAAACATGCCCATAGTGGTTGAGAGAAAAGCAACCTGATGACAGAAGGGGGTGAATCCTGCCAATAGGCTCTGGCTTCTCTGTTCCATCTTCCTAGCATCACAGTGCTCCAACTTTGCAAGAAGAAGACGCAAGAAAGTCTTGTGTTAAGGACTAGAGAAAGGTTTTGCTATATATCAAACAAAAACCAAATAAGCTGATCTTAAAATAGTGTCCAAGAGATGTGACTGACCCTTGCATACTTTTCGGTGGAGTGAACTTTAGCAAGGAGTGCTGCTTCCGTGTGTCTGATGGAAGAAGCTAGCTTCAGGCCTGAGAACAGAGTTAACCAGGCTTCTTACCATAGCAGAAAGGGCCACTCCCATCACTCAGCAACTAAACTTCTGGAGTGCCAGATGTCTGGGGGACAACTGAGCTGGGTTTCATGAGCCTATAGACTACTTTATTTCTCCTTAATTTTGATGGTTAAAAGTCCTTATTCTGAATTTCTAAAATCAAGATTAAGTCATGAGGCAAAAAGATGCCGATTTGTTCACTAGATTACGAAGGGTCAGTTTCTCAATGTTTTTATTTTCTACACAAAAGGGTATTGCAACTGCGCCCCCATTTGGGAAATAGTGTCATGTCATATACTTCCCCTCCCCCAAACGCTGCCATGCTGCGAATCAAACCCTGGGGTTTCACACATGCCAGACAGCACTCAATCACTGAGCTAGACACCTGGCCGCACATGTTAGCCTTCTGTAACATGCTCTGGCCTTCCTTCCACTGCAGAGCTGACATGATAAACATCCAGTGGTGCTTTAGAGATTTCTCTGTCGGAGGAATTTAGAGACAACAGCCTGGTTACAAGGCAGAGAGTTCTCACCTTGAAGCTGTTTGCATTTGAATGTTTGGGGGTGGGAATTAACTTGTACGTTTAAGTTAAAATTATTAGCATCAGTTTGGGGATAAAGCCCTGCTTTCAGTTTTTAGACTGGGTGAGGAAGTAATTCTGCTCTGACGTGATCCTGCATGGCTATAAATCTCTCTGTGCAGCTGTATCTCTGAAATCCATTTCACGTTGTCTCTGCTACATTATGCCATGTCAACCCTTGGGGGAACAACAGGGAAACGAGGTTGGAAACCCTGTTTCAATGTTATTTCACTGAAGCTGGTATTTACAGCAAATAGCAATTGTTCTATTAACAGACTTTTCCTTCAGTAGTCTCTCTAAAAAAACTGCCCTTTGGGGAAAGGACTGGGAGGGGCATGAGAGGTTTTGAAAACAAATAAGGAACCATTTTCCTTTTAAGGCTTTACTTGCCAAAAGCCATTTTGGGACAGGTTCTGAGCCTGGATCTTCTCTCATTTACTTCCTGAGCAGACAAGAAGGCAATGCACGCGGAGATGTAACATTCAGTGAAGACGTTGCCTGTGGAAAGCACACTTCACAGAAGCCAATGAACTGCCATGCACAGGGCATAGGCTTGGGACCTCGGGAAAATTGTGGGCATGGCTTCAGCGAACTGCTACCACAATGCAGCAATGCTCTATTACAAGCCAAGCAGTTTTTCTCTGAGTGCAAGTATTTCTGTTTTCTAATTGATAGAAGGAAAAGAGAAAACGGCAATTGCTTATGTAAATACACCCATGCAGCTATAGATAATATGATGATGGTCCAACTTGGCTAAAGTATCTCTCCTCCATGTCTCTTTTCAAGCACACCTTACACAGAATGTATTTGAAGTCCAAATTGCTCAGACAAAAGTAGCTTAACAATTTGGACCATTGAAGTTTAAATTGGTTCTTAAAAGTTAAAAATAGTTATACAGGAAGACCTTTTGCTCTAGTGCCTGAAAGGCTATGGATTCCTCCAAAAAAAGCAACAGGTTTTTTTGTGCCTATTGAATGGCTCTGATTTTCACTGTGAACCAACCTTCATATCTCTTTTTCTCCCCTCAGGAATTAGTTTTAAGAACTTAAGTCTCTTCCTTCCTTTGTAAACTTCTATCATTTCACTAATATTAAAGGAAGGTTAGACTTTTACAAATGATAAAGAATAGGCAATTTAATAGCATTATACTTTGCTGAGATGGATACAATTCATAGGTGTGTTTAGGTATGTATATATAAGCACAACACATTTGTGGATCAGCCATGTGATCTACTTTAATGGTGTGCTGAAATGAACTCATGGTTCATGAGAGCAGACACACATTTCCAGGAATTTGGTAAGATCTTTAGGGTCATGTTCATAGTCTGAAAATAGTTAAGAAGTAACTTGGAAAATAATAAGGATGGGTATGGTTTTATTTCTCCTGGAGAAAAAATTGTTAAGTAATTTACCAATATATTCTCAAAAGTTTGGTCATGAAAAGGATGGTATATACAGTTTTGGCTAGATTCCATTAAAAAAAATAGTGAAGTTAAAAAGAAAGTTTTTGGAAATTTACCTTAGCTTTTAAGTTCAAAAAAGTCTGAAACATCACCTATTTGTCCTATTAATTGTTTGAAAATGCAATTATAGGCCCTAGAATATTCACACAAAGTTGATTGGAACATTAAAAAATTATAGTCTCTGCATTTATGGTTTTAGACAGTCATTAAAATGTTAGCTAAACCTAAATTTAATGAAAATGAATATTATATGAAAAGTAGAGAAACTCAACTTTTGTTGCTGGTGTAGCTTTTGTGTTTTCAAAACCCTGTTAGTTAGTGTGAGTTGGATATATGGTCTTTAATACATATGTACATGTATGTAAGTGCATAAGTCACATAACAGTATAAGTCAGAACAGTAGGGAAATGAGATCACTGGTTCATTAAATAGTCTACTAATAACTAAGAATGACTTATGCTAAAATTGTGATAGACAAATGGCGGGATAGCTATTTGATCTAGCTAAATAGCTCTTCCTCTATTTTCTTAAAAGACCAGAATTCCTTATTGTTTTCTCTTTGGCTAAACAATGTATTTAGGTTAAATATATACACACTCATACTTCAGTGCATGCTTTCCCTAGAAGTCACAGATTCCAAGAATAAACCTAAATTTATATTTTGATTTGCTTCTTAGATGATGCTGAGAGAGAAGCAGTTCTGCTAAGCAGGTAAGCGCTGGCAGTGGACACTTGGGAACTGAAAAAGAGAAACCCTGAGTTTTATTTGGCAAAGAAATAGCCAGTGGGAAGAATGGTTTCTGAACTCAGAACAAAGAAGTATGGAGGATAGAGGAAATATCTTCTTTCTTCCAGCTACTGATATCCTTGGCATCTCTCTGGTTTATATCTTTAGTTTTCAGGGTCTTAGTTGTAAAGGTGGAGAGCCAAGAGGTAGGCAGAATCTGAGTCTTCAGGTAATTCTTCAGAAACTAGGCTGTTTTTTTTTTGTTGTTGTTTTGTTTTGTTTTTTTTTGCATTAAGCCTCTGATATCCAGTTTCTCTGTTGCTTTGCTGTCTGGTGTTGTGATGGTAAATCCAGTGGAGTAGCAGGTATTGCAGAAGTACCGGCAAATTGTACAGCAGTATTTCACACATGCAGCTACTATACATTCAATTTTTGTTATTTTCTTAAAATCAGGAGCGACTTGGAAGCTTATGCCACAGCAGAGTCAGAGAAACTATACTAAAAAAATACATAAAGGTGTGATATCTTTTGGTTGCTTTGAGCTTTTTCAAGGCAGAAATTCTTCAAAATACATTTTCTGGGGTTCTACTTAAATATTAATATGCCACAATCAAAAGCAATGAGTTATTGGTAGAATGCAATACAGATATGGCATACTGCCTTTTTATAAAAGAAATAAGAAATGTGTTTGGAAAGTTAAATGCCTTTAAAAAATTAAAAACAAATGTATTCTCACAGCTTGGGGCAGGGGCGTGGAATGAACTCTGTACCAATGAGCTGATGATGATCCTGCTTTATAACTGGCACCCTAGAGGTGCCCACTTGCATTCATGGGCTGCGCCGCAAAGACTTCAGTACTTCAGGAGGCCTTTATTTCTGCTGCCATGTATCCTCCATCCAGAATCCTCCATGGCATGATCCATGCATAATATGCTTTTCATGACAGCTCACTGTGATACTCCACAAAACTACTTATTGTGCTTTAAATTCTATATAGACTTTTGCATTTTAGAGCTATGTTTTAAAAATTAAGCACATTCTGTAAAAGATTAATCTATTCCATTCAGTGCACTTGTTTTTAAACAACTCTATCTGGTATATTCATTCTACATAGAATTTTATCTCAAATTGCACTATTTTCCAGTCACATGGGAACTAAAGAACCCAACACAAAGATGCTGAATGAATTTGTTGTGATTTAGTTCTGTTTTCAGCCAATATTGTATATGGATTCTATTAAGGGACCTTTATTAGTTTTACATTTATGCTTGGAGAAGTGGTTTTTTTTTCAGGCAATCATTTTTCTGGGCCATACAAGTGTGACCTATCATGCTAACGGTGAATATCTGTCCACAATCAGGGAAACAAAGAATAATTTGAAAAATAAATGCTTCTGTGATAATAAAGTTATTTGTGTATTTTCTTAAATACTTTGGGTGGTGGTGATTTAACAAATAAACATATTCATATTGATTCTTCTTAAAAACACTGTTATTTACTACTCAACAAAAATGAGTAATCTTTTAAAATAAGTTTCATCACTTAAAAATATACATATATTTTTGGTACTGTTTTTGGATCCAGCTTGATCTGTTATTTCCTATGTGATGAATCTTTGTTGGATTGCATAGAGTTATGTGACTCTGTCTTTGGTGTTTTTTTCTTTTTGTAGATTTCTTGTCACATGTTTGAGGCTAACCTGAGGAACATGGATCATTGAGTAATTGTTTTTCATTTTCTCTTGAAAAATATTTCATTTCTCCATTTTCTTCTTTAGTGGTCTTTTGAAGAAACCAATCTGTGGAAAAAATACAAAACACAACACAGTTATTTTAATTGAGGTAATCATTAGTCTCTATGTAGAATCTAATTTAATAATATATTTGCAAATATGGGCATACAACTAATTCAGATAATGGAGAAAATATTTTCATTGGTCTATTCATATTTAATGTCAATAAATGATATTTATTCAGATTGCTTTTTTACTTTTGACTTTTCATTTATTAAATCATGTCTTCTAGCAAAAAAATCCTACAAATATTTAACTTACTTACAGAGTTCTGGGAAATATTTTGGGAGGCATACAAACTGAAGCTGCTGGTACTTTGTTATTTATTTACTTATTTATTTCCTCATGGATGTGGCAGAAAAAATTTCACCAAGTTACTGATAGTCATATGTAGAAGCTGTTAGAGTTGGTGAATGTGGCAAGTGCACATTGGATAGGAAATGTCAGGGAGATTTCTGATATCTCTGTAGGCTCCCTTTTGGAGCTTACAGCCTAGTGGGGCAAAATACTAACAGACACAAGCTGATGTACTATGTAAAGTCTTGGAGGTTATGGGAGGTACTTTGGCTTTTACTGTAAATCAGTGGAAAATCACTATGAAGTTTCAAACAAGAAAAAAATACAAGGACAGCGCAAAGTTTGTTAAATAACTTTCTTTGGGGCTTAAAAAGTTTACTGGATGGAAACATGTGCTTATCTTTGTAGGTATGCCTTTCCAGAGTAGAGACCACAAAACAGGTGGATGCAAATTCCTCTTTTGTTTGTCTAAAACAACTAATGGTATGAGGCCAGAGAGAATCTATGCAAATGTCCACTCTGCCTTTTCTCTTTTCTTGACAGTGATTTCCTAAAAGTATTCCAGCAAAAGGAATGCTCCCACCAAAAACCAGACCAAAAGAAATCATCAGCTTGGTCTGTTGGAGAGGTGCTCATAAAGGAAGAAAACACTTCCTGTCTGATGAATAGGCCTTGAGTGCCACAGTGTGGCAAAGCCAGGCATTACAGAACACCGGTGTCTGACTTCAGAGCAACTGAGTATTGAATGTTTGAGGGTTCTGTTTTGGGGACTTTGCTAGAGAAAGACCAGGGAGACTACCAACTGAATTAAATGTCAACTGAAATGAATGTCACTTGTCTCTATCTTCAGCATAGGCTTGCTGGCATTTTCCTCTAGTAGTCACTCCCCAAAGATAAAGTTAGTCATTGGAGAAGAATAACAAAAGACCGAAGAAACCATGTGTAATCTGTTGGGAGAGAAAGCTGCCATTTTATTTTTTTTTAAGTGATTGGTTGGTCATGTATTAGAAAAACACATGTGTAGCTATAATCTCTATTTCAACATTGTTCAACCATGTAACAAGGAGTAAAACACAGGAATATATTATGCTAGAATATGTGATGATTTTATATTTAATTGGAAAAAGCATTAAGTTCAACTTTTCTATGGGATTTTATTCTTCACTAAATGGATTGCGAAAGCTACTATCCCAGATTGTTTGAAAAAATGTTGGTGTTGGTGGTCCTGGAGCTTGAACTCTGGGCCTGGGCAATGACCCTGAGCTCTTCAGCTCAAGGCAAGGGCTCTCCCACTTGAGCCACAGTCTCGCTTCTGGTTTTCTGGTGGTTAATTGGAGATAAGAGCCTCAGAACTTTCCTGCCTGGGCTGGCTTTGAACCTTGGTCCTAAGATCTCAGTTTCCTGAATAGGTAGGATTACAGGCATGAGCCACTGGCACCTGGCTGTTTGATTTTTTTTTTGGGGTGGGGGTTGTAGGGCTTGAACTCTGGGCCTGGGCGCTGTCCCTCAGCTCTCCAGCTCAAGGCGAGCGCTCTACCACTTGAGCTACAGCACCACTTCCAGTTTTCTAGTGGTTTATTGGAGATAGGAGTCTCACGGTCTCTCCTGCCCGGGTTGGCTTTGAACCGCGATCCTCAGATCTCAGCCTCCTGAGTAGCTAGGATTACAGGCGTGAGCCACCGGCGCCCGGCCACCTGGCTGTTTGAAAAGTTTTATACAGCTGTTTGTAAAGTTTTAAACTTCTCAGCTTAAACAAAATACCTATGTAAATGTCCAGACTAACCGGACAGAAAATAGAATCACTTAAATTCATGAAAGGATTTGAAACAGGAGTCTTAGAAACTTTAAGAACATTCTTACATCAATGAATCAGTAAATCAACCATCAAATATACAAGTATTGCATAAAATGTGGTATGCTTGCTTATATATTATAAGTATTTAGTATTTAAGATACAGAGTTCTGTGATTTAGGTAAGCTTGATGCTTTTATGTTCTTAAAGTTATATAGGAGTTCAAATTTTATTTTTTATAAAAGGGGGTTTCCATTATTCTCTGCTTAAAAAGTAATATAGATGTTAAAAATTTTTAAACATTCATTGATAATCTTAACCTCCAAAGAGATCCCCCATTGATTTATTGCATATGTCTATCGCAAAATAGGGTCTATATTTTTCTTTTTAAAAGTAAAACGAAGTTGTACACTTTCTATGAAATATAATTTTAAAATTTTATCTTGGTTATTTCAAAGTTTGTTTTATTACGACATACATCTCACAACCTAGGTAAGTTCCTCAGCTTGCTGGTGACAAGAATAGAGCTAAAGGGACTTTGAGGCTTACCTTCCAGAGAAGAAGTATCAGCAGGAGCAGCAGCAACAGCCCGGCAAATGCACTCAAGAGGATAACCCACAGTGGCACTCTGCCTGGGAGTCCATCTTTGGATATTTGAATAGCAAGCTGAAAATTATTAAACAAGGCCATTAACATCGATAAACACTTATTCAAACTAGAACTCTGAGTAGGCTATATTTTTCTACCAAACAGCATATTTAACCTCACTATTGCTTACAGAGGAAACATTGAGTTTGCATTTGAATATGCCCTTCAATATCTTCTAAATCTCCTCAAATGTATTCCTATCACTGAAAATTACTTAATATTTTATTTTCCAGGATCTCATACATAGAATTGTCCATCCAGTATAGTGGCTTGTGCCTATAATCCAAGCTACGTGGAAAGCAGAAGTAAGAGGATTGTAGTTCTGGCCAGCCACATCAGAAGTTAATGAGAATGTATTTTAAAGAACAAGCCAGGCCCAGCACCGGTGGCTCACTCCTGTAATCCTAGCTACTCAGGAGGCTGAGATCTGAGGATCACCATTCAAAGCCAGCCCGGGCAGGAAAGTCTGTGAAACTCTTATCTCCAATAAACACTCAGAAAACCGGAAGTGGTGTTGTAGCTCAAGTGGTAGAGCGCTCGCCTTGAGCTGAAGAGCTGAGGGACAGCGCCCAAACCCAGAGTTCAAGCCCCATAACCAACAACAACAACAAAAAAAAAAAATTAAAAAAACCAACAAGCCAGCTGCAGTGATGCCTCTGTGGAATCCTAGGTTCCTGGGAAGCATGTATAGCAGGATTGTGATCCAAAACTTGCCCAGGAAAACAATGCTAGACCCTACTTAGAAAATGACTAAAGCAAAAGGGACAAGAAGTGTGGCTCAAGTCATAGAGTACTTGCCTGGCAAGCACAAAGCCCCAAGTTCAGACCTTTAGTTCTACCCTCTCCTTTTCGAAGAAGGGATTTTTAATACACTTGAGGCAGGAGATTTCCTTTTAACTCAGAACAAACCACAGTACTATATTCCAAAGGTTGTCTTGTTCATTATCACAGTAGCTTCAATTTAGGCTGGAATGTCACAGATTGTTAAAATCAAAACCTCTCTATTCTAATTCAAATGGGCTATGATTCAAATGATAAGAAAATACAATGTTCATGCAATAAAATGCACACATTTCCAGCACATATATGCTTAGCTATCACAATGTGCTTTTAATGGTACTGTACTGTCTCTTCTAATTGATTCATCACTCAGTCACTTATAATTTAGGACTTAAGTGGACTTCAGTGTGAAACAGGCAGCTTCCAGTAGCTTTTAGCTTCCTCTGACCTCTCAGTGTGGTGTCCTAACCTTCTGGGAGTTTGTCTGTTCTGAGTCCTATGCCACAGGAATCTGAAGAAGGTAATAATAGTGCAGATTCAGACTATTGAGGTAGACTTTAACCATGCCTGTAACATTGTCCTGAAATTAAGATGTGGATATGGAGTCTAGATAAAGGTATGTGATCTGCAGAGAGATCACATGATTAGAAAATGAGCAATTTTGGTAATTTTATCAATATAGGTTTAATTTTCCTTTAGTGTGTAATAAATGTCTACAGGGGCATTTGTAATTAACATTCAGGTAAAGCCACATTGTTAAAATACATTATAAAAATTATAACATTTTAAAGACAACACTTTCAGGACTCAAAAATGCTTCTCCTCTAATAAAATCCATACATACATTATTTAAAAAGATGTTTGTGAATTGTTGACTGCTCTATTGCCTTTTCATTTTGCATTGATGGGCCAAGAGCTCTTTATGATAAGCATTTTGTGTATGTATCTTCTTTGTGTCTAGAACTGTGTAGTGATCAGCGATCACTGACATCGAAATGGTTGGCAATAGGTAATTGTACAATACCATCAGAATCATAGGCAGCTTCCAAATTGAATTTTGGAAGCTTTTTATCCCCATGAGATCATTAAACTCCCCAGGACTAGAGGGGAAATCACACTTAAGTACCTTGATCTATAACTACTACTTGGGCTTTATTTCATAAAAGGACAAGAGTGGGACACTCACACTTGAATTCAGGACTCAGCCTGAATCTCTAACATTTTTTGTTGTTAGTTTCAAATTTACCATTGACCAAATACAGGAAACATTAAAAAGTTCACACATTTTCCTGTACAGTATAAAAGGCACTGCAAAAGGAAATTATTTTTCTCTATCTGTTCTTCAGACATCAGTTGCATTTTATGCTGTCAGTTTTTAAAGAAGGAAAAGCATAAATGCAGCATTTTCTATCAAGCTGAAAATGAAAACAACCTGCAATAGTTACTATGACAGTTGGAAGCAATAAATTCAAACGTGGCAGGTTACTTGTAAATACTATCATTTCTTCACTTTCTTACAACGAAGACTGAAACCATATTTGAAGCTAATGAAGTGGAAAGCAAATGGTAGCTGTCACTTGCACAAAGATGAACCAGACAGTGCTGTGGGACTACGTACAATTATAAAACATTGTGTCACAAATGCGTATGGGTGAAATGCATCAGGGTTTTAAATCAGGCAGTGGGACTTACCTCTCTTTTTTGGTTGCTACTACTTAAAACCAGAGATGCATTTTGACTCCAAAGTTCTCCCTTGATTGTCAGATTTAAGCTGGAAAAATGTGCCTGAAAAGCAGATTAGAGTTTTTTTTAAAACAAATTATGTGAATCAAAATGAGAGTTGGCTGTATCTGAGGAGTGGTTATTAAATTGGTCCTTTTTCCCCCTGAGAGTCACGAACACTGTCATTGTCCACTGATCTGTGGAAACTGATGCCTGGGCATCCATCCTCCTTTCTTAGCATTTCTTCCTAATCCACACTGAGATCCTTGTTAAGAATAGGCTTTATAGAATAGGAAAAAAAATTTAAACAATTTCCACTCAGATTTTTTTCTTTGAAAAACAAATCTCCACCTCTGCCTACTTGTAATACAGCTAGGCATAAAATAGCTAAATGCTGGTAACAAAGTTTACATGTTGGCACTTATCTATGTTAAGTATAAAATTGCCAATATCCAACATTTGATGACTTACAAAAAAAACAGCAACCATATGATAAAAAATGGTGTCTTTATTTCTTTAGAGAAAAATAAAAATACTAAATAAAATTTGTTTTTGTCAGTCGTGGGGCCTGAACTCTGGGCCTGGATGCTGTCTCTCAGCTCTTTAGCTCAAAGCTAGGGCTCTACTACTTGAGCCATGGTACTACTCTGGCTTTTTCTGCTTATGTGGTGCTGAGGAATTGAACCAAGGGCCTCATCCATGCAAGACAAGCACCCTACCACTGAGCTACCTCCCCAGCCCTATAAATAAAATATACATTTTAAAGTAGTTTGTTGTTAGATAGGTTTGGCTTCATCAGGAGTGAGTCAATTATCTTTTAAAGTATGTTTGCATAGAGTCAAACTCCAGTTCTTACGGTGTCTTACAGATCCGTAATAGATGCTAGCTCTGTCCTTTGCTAATGATGTCAAGGATTGTCATAGGGATAAAGAGAGGGATAAACAACGAATGATACAAGGTTAGTGGTGGACAGGTATTTTTCTCCTATGCTATGAAGCAAAAGGCTGAGACAATAGCTCTATATCTGCAAGAGGATGTTGGAGCTAACTTATCTATTAATGCACAGAGAAGATGAAATGCAGAGCTTTGGCTTAGATCATATTTTCTGACATAGCCAGCCTCATCTGCTTTCCCTGGCAGTGCCACACATACGAAGTAACATGATACATGAATATTTGTTAATTTGATTTGGTAATTGCATAGAACAACAGAACTACTTACTTTTATAAAAGTTGGTTTCCACAAGATAAGTGAAATGTTCACTTGGCTCAAGTCAGAAGGGATAAAATTGCATGTGATGGTAGCAAGCTTACACGTACTGCAGTCCTGTGTCAATGTGTAGATGTACATATTAGTATTGTTAACATTGAATCAAACATTCTATATTAAAATACTTCAAATGGTTGTTCCTAAGTTGATGATCAACATATTCCACTTGGAAAGAACACATAAGGTAAAAATTACACTCAGTTTACCAGCAGTGTGCCTCGTTTGAGATCTTCTGATTTTGATATGATCATTTTCTTTCCAGAGTTGATTCCAAGAGGATCCTCAAGACTCTGGGGTCTGCAGTTTGCATTCTAAGAAATGAAAACATTTCTCTTATCAGCCATTGCCAAATGTCAATGGAAAACAAATGAGTTCGGTAACACGAAGAAGCTGACATTGACAAGCAGTGCCATATGTTAAAATGCATCTGTGTGGGGTGCAGGATGGAAGAAATTGTGAGGCAGAGGCTATAGCTTTCCATCCTACCTCCTCCAAAAATAATAACTGTTACCACAGCATTTTGAGTTGTGCTGGAGGGTCTTATGGAAAAGAAAGGATGCAAATAGGATTCACTGTTTTATGAGTAGAATCCTCCTTAATCTATTGTTTTCTTCAAAGATTAGCTTGTAAATTCTCATAATACCAAGAGAAAAAAAAATTGAAACTCAACTGAAAAGTTAGTTTTTTTCATCAGATGGATTCTTTGAGGGAATTATAGGGAAATTCCAGAGTTTTATTTTTCTCTTGCCCTTAGGAAAACATAAATGATTACAAAATAAGTTTTACTGTAGCTATTTCATGTTTCCAAGAATGCTTTAATTTTTAAACAATTCTTGTTAGTATGATTTCAGTGTGCAGAATAATAAGTTTTATTATGACAGTTTCATGCATGCATATAATACATTAATCGTAGAGAATACTTATTGTTTTAAACTGTAGAGAAGAGCCATAGTTAAATGCCAAAATTGTGCATGCATTAATTGGATACTTACTGTTTTAGCACTAGATAATAATAAACTGGCATAAAATCTTACTGAACAAATACAGGGGGTACAATATTGCTATTGTTTACAGTAATTAACCAGCATTCTATTATTTTATATGCAGCTTTATGTATCTAGGAGTAACCAGGAAGTCTGCAGAATTACTTGACTACCTCAAACAAATTAAAAGTGTATCAAACAGCTGGGCACCAGTGGGCTCATGCCTATAACACTAACTACTCAGAAGGCTGAGATCTGTGGCTAGTAGTTTGAAGCCAGGCTGGGCAGGAAAGTCCATGAGACTCTTATCTCCAATTAACCAGCAAAAAGCCTAAAGTGGATTTGTGACTCAAGTGGTTGATTTCAGGTAAAAATTGGGAATTAATAATTTTAATATCTACTCGGATGGGTATTGATTTCAAAAAGATTTACCCAAGTTGGAACACCCAGAACCTGTAAAATTAATCTCATTTGGAAACAGAATCATTGCAGAGATAATTCAATTAAAGATCAGCAGATGAGAGGATCTTGGGTTTCAAGGGCCCTAAATCCCATGATGAGTGTGCAAAAATGCACATGGAAAAGAGGAGAGCACATGGAAATTCAGAGAAGGAGGCCACCTGAAGACAGAGGCAGAGACTAAAATTAGGCTGCTAGAAGTCAGCGAGCACTGAGATGTCAGCAGCTGCCAGAAACTAGGAAAGAAGGCATGGAACAAATTCTCCTTAGATTTCTATGGGAACCAACTGAGTTGACACCTCATTCTGGACCTTTGGCCTTCAGAACTGTGAAGAATGAAGTTCCATGAATTTTAAGCACCAATGGTTGGTAATTTGTTATACCAGTCCTAGAGAATTATTTTACCTACTAAATAACCAGTGAAGTTGTTGCTATTTTAAAATTTCCAAATGACCCTCCATGTTACTTAGATCACACCACCACAAGGGAAGTGCAGAATAAAGGGCTGAATTGTAAAGGAGGAAGTCAACAGAAATGCCATGATTACAATGTGCTCGTGACTCACATCGGAAGAGGACCATCCAGTTGGATACAAGACAGGAAAACCATCAGACGTTAAATTAGGGAATGAAACCGACAGCTGAAGTTCTGGCATTGGAAAATGTCCCCTTTTTCTAATCTACAGAGATTTAAAAAAAAGATGAAGAAAAAACATAAACCATTATCCTTCAACAGCTTCCTGTCCACTTTATGAAAGATGTTGGCTTTTAATTCATTAAGTTGTATAAAATTTTGATTTCTCTAAATGAACACAGTTTATGACCCTGCCTAGGGAACTGGCTTAATTTAACCAGCAAGAAAATAATCTATTGTTGATAACCTGTATTACCTATAAATCACATTGTTTTTCCATTCTCCACTCGAATATAGAATAAATGAAAAATCAGAATAAAATCAGAATAAACTGAAAATCAGAACTGAAAAGTTGTCCTGACTCATTATTTTCTTGACATGCCCAACATCTTTTCTAACATAAGAGGGTTTGGGGGAATTGGAAAGGAAGTCCACTTACCTAATCGACATGGAACAATTTAACTTATTTTTGCTTACCTTAGTTCAGTTTGTCATAATTCCGCAAGGCCCTCAATCATCTCTAACATATTAATATTCTAACAAGTTATATGTAAATTCTTAAATTAAGGCATTAACTGACACTAAGAAACACACTTCAATATTTAATCTCTATATCTCTATATCACTATTTAAAAATATTTTACTTAAGGATTATTATGCTTTGAATCAACTTTAAAAACCCCAGTCTGTAATTTCCCTATAAAAAGACTTAACAATTAAGATGATTTTCTAGAAAAAATCTATATAACCAAGTAATTAAAAATGCTAGATATAGACTTTATATTATTTTAACATAATTAAGAAAGACATACTTTAAGTAATTAAGACCACTAAGAGTGTAGTTCAAATGGTAGAGAGCTTGACTACCATATACAAGGCTCTAGGTTACAACCACCATGTCACTAAAAATATAATTATTACTATTTCAAAAACAGATCATTTGGGCTGGGAAGGTGGCTCAGTGGTAGAGCGCTTGCCTTGCATGCCTGAGGCCCTGGGTTCGATTCCTCAGCACCACATAAGCAAAAAGAAAGAAGTCAGCAAGTCTTTGGGGCTGGGAAGTTGGCTCAGTGGTAGAGC